AAAGACATATTAATGCATATATTCTTTTTTTGTATTAAATGGTCATGAAGCGCGTCAATGTTTATCCTACGGCACTATGCTATGTACCATTCGTACATTCCTATTCACGAATTTCGAATAATATACGCGGCATAACAATGCCGACGCAACAATGCAGATAGGTACGTGTCGCTTATGAATTATGGCAACGTCAATTAATTTTGATACATTATTATAAACAGTCCCGCATACGAAAGAATCGTCGAGCGCAACTCGAAATTCATCGCACGTGCAACGAGGCATCTCTAAGCTGTGAATCTACATTATACGTACTCTCTTAAAGTAAATCAGTGAAACATCAATGAAAGCAGTGAATATACACTGATTTGTAGTTATAAGTATAGCACTGAGACTGCTCAGTGCTATAATTATAACTGATATCAATGACTATCCACTGATTCACTTTAAGAGGGTATGGAGCGAAAATATGAAGTATAAGAAATCGCGCATAAAAGAAGAGCAGAAGACAATTTGCTGTCTCACACGAGCATACACTCGAACCCAGAAACAACGCGTACAATCGCGACGTTGCTGCGATTGAGGACAGCGTCGAGGACGATCCCTTCGCGATCTCGCTGCGAACCGGAATTTCGAGACCCAATTACCAAGTCCGGCGGCGCGTATCGAACGGACGGACGTGTGATTAAACGCTAATTCCGATTTATTCGACGTACGGCCGTAAGTTTCGGCGCGGTGATGGCGTCAATCGCAGGGACGACCGCGGCCGCGTTTTACACGATCGTCCACCTACGTGCTCGTAATTTACGACTTATCGGCGCCGGGGCACGGTGTAATTTTCGCACTCGTGCAAAATTACACCGACGCAAAGCCAACGATCGCCAATGGGACTAGTGCACCCCGTGCACCCTCTCGTGCACCCCACGCTCTGTCTCTCTCCCTCGAGTTCTCTCTCTCTCTCTCTCTGTCTCGCACTCTCGCTCTCTGGAAGTGACGCGAGATCGTGCTCCCGGCGCGGGCGGGCATGTACCGGGATGTCGATACCACGAGAAGCGGATGTCAATAGCATGAAGTCACTCCTCCGGCGAGGGAGAAGCTGCATCCGCCGATTTTACAAAGCTCTCGCCGCTCTGTCGCCCGTACGCGCTGGAGAAAAAAAGCGTTAGTCGAGGAAGCGAGAGAGCGACGGAGAAATTCTTCTCTCTCCTGTTGGCAGAGAGCGAATGAATGAATAGATTTTACTATATCTTAGGTCTGCGAGATCCTCTCAGAAATATGTACAGGAATAATATATTAATAAAACATAGAGTGATCCAAAGAAGCTAAACAATGTACGCGCTGTTGCTATTACAGAATATAGCTTTGATATACGCGCGAAAAATTGTTGTAAAATTCTGGACATTTTTTCCTGTGTAAAAAAGCTCGCTCGTACATGCATGCATGTGTGTGTGCTCTCTGCTGAAAAGAAATTTATTTTGATTTTAATGTACAGCTAGTGAGGAGAAGGTCCGTGTCGAAACGTTATTATGTGCTAAACGTGTTAATTTGATTCTACAAGATCTTGCTCGTCTCTCGAGAGAGAAATTTATGAAGATCGCCTGCTGCGATATTACGTCGAAATGAAAGAATTGGATGGCCACGCGAAGCGCCAAGTGTACGATATAAAATAGCGCGGCCGAAGATTATGCCTCATTATACGGGAATTATGTCGGATACGACCCGCCGTATTTAATAAAGAGCTGGAGAGGGCACGCACTTACCGTCCATTTACTTACGGAAACCGCCGCGGGCGAGATTTTAATCGTTCCGCAAGAGTCGTGCTCTTCCGCTTCTCTCCCGCTCGCGATCTCCCAACTACCGTCTACCCTGATAAGATCCCGTGTTTTCTTTGGCCCGGCCGAGGCTCTTGGAAAAGTTCAATCCGAAGTGCTGCCGGTGACACTCTCGGACGAGTTGGCGGGTGTGTTCCGAGCACGCTTTTGTATTACTTTGCATCGGCGGAGAGCGACCGCCGTTGTGCCCGCGTCAACTAGACGTACCTGCTGGGTACCGGCGTGCGAAACGCTTCCCATAAAAGGAAACGAGAATATCGCGGCCTTCAAAAACACCGTCGACTTTTCAAAGACTTTGACGAACTCGCGTCTTTTTTCTCTTTCTTTCGATTTTCCTTTTTTTTCTACATTGCATTCTATCCATAGCATTCCACGCACGCGTGGATTAAAAATAAATTATTCGATCACTGCAATCGAGAGTTTGAGAAATTATTAGCGTAATTATTAGCGCCAGAGGCTACTGCGATAAACGTTCTAAACAATGACAGGTGTATTTTATGCTTATTTTTATATAATTAAATAAATGAACACAATAATGAAATAAATTTATTTCGTGTTCCTGAAACTGTCCTACTATAAGTTATATTTCAAAAAGAAAAGACGCAAGCCAGGTATTACATTCGTTCTCTCTCTCTCTCTCTATTTCTCTCTCTAAAAATTGCGAAATTTTGAAGTCAGCCTGATTTAAACCCGATTTATTCCACCTGGTCGAAAAGCCATATTTCTCATTACGCATATACATCTTTCTACACTTGAATTATTCCGCTTGCAGAAATCTCAGCACATCAATCTTGGTGACGGACAAGCAGTTAAAAATTCTCTCGCAACTCGCCGAGAGAAGGTACAATAGATATTCTACGTAGTTATCAAATTTGCAACCGGGTCGAAAACTATTTTACGATGGCGCACATGTGCCATTACGGGCCGGGTGGAAACAAGCTTTGTTGTGCTTGTGTCAACAAAAGACGCGTGTTCTGGAAGCGCGTGCTGCATGCGACGCTTGGAAGAATGAAAGTAAATATCGAGCGCGGCGCAGGTGGACCGGATAAGATTAAACAGCTGTTTCCGCGTTTTATCGGGAGTGCAGTTAACCGCCGACCGTCCCCTCCCTTTCCCGAAATGCATTCTTCTCGGGCGCGTTAGCACGCGCGTGCAATATCCGCAATAGCGGCCTGCACAAATGAATTGCGCTTTGCGCAAGCAGTTGGGACGGACTTTAAGAGGAAATAGTCCAATAATGCCCGCGATAAACTCCACGCGAAATATCTCAGGGTGTTTCGCGCTTCGTCTCCCCATTACATTTGCATATCTTATCTTATTTATACAAATGCCGAGAAGAAATTCGGAAAAAGTGAGGAGCAAATGGTACTCACGGGAGAGATTATTCATCAGCGTCTGCGGTCCCGAGAACTGTCTAAATAAAAACAGATTTTTCCAGAAATCATTAGAACTGCCTTCTCTTTTTCAGAAAATCGCTGTCACTTCGCTGATAAACTTATTGCTCAACACGCGTTCTCTCTCTAGACAATTAAATGAATGAACGGGCGAAGAAATGAAAATTGGAATAGTGTTAAAATAGCGTCAGAATTTGATTCATTTTAATGCAACGCGAAATGTGCAAAAAGCACACGAGAAGATATTTCCTATAGTCATGTGACTGTTCTCCAGTAGCAGAGTTTTGAAGGCTTCTCTTGCAAAATTCCACAAAAATTTATGAAACCAATGTACGTTATACTTTCATGATGCATCGCAGCAGCCTCGGGGCGCGCTGAACAAGTTTCCACACGCGCATAAAAGTGCCTCGAGTTTAATTATACGTGAATCTTGCACGAGATGAATACCACGTTACGCGAACACGCACATGTCGCATCTCCTAGGATTTTATTTCGAAATGTCCAATCGTCGCGGGAGAAAGGAAGCAAGACAGAATAGATAGAAAACAGCTGAGGCGCAGCTGGTTTCTGGCATCGCGACGGCTGGCGTCTTTTCCGCGCAGGGAGCGTCGCGCTCCGCGCGCGCGTATGCACGCGCGTCACGTCTGTGTATAACACAAACCATCGATGGTAGAAAGCAGAGCCAGAATCGATACCTGGCAATATTTTAGCCGGAGGCGATAACAAACCCCAGAAGAAAAATTAACACTCACTACCGGCTCGATGCGCCGGTAACACGCTTTTCGAATTCCGTTAATCTGTAAATAATTACGACTGCGATTACAGGGCGATTGCGCCGACGAATGCCGGAGAAGGCGCAGATCGTAGAGCAAATATTTGAAATCCGTGGGGAAGCTTGTCTTGTTCGAAGAACTCGTGAGCGCGTACCTCGGCCAGAGAGACGCGGAGTCTAGTTTCTACGAAATATTATTCTCGCGTTTTCGCGAGAGCGCGCGCGAGAAAAAGCAACATTTCGCTGGCAACTCGACCGGTGTTTAGCTCGACTTTCAAACGGCAGGAGACGTCACGTGAGCATCAATCGTCCTCGTTTCGAGAGGATATCGATCGTAAATCGACGAATATCGATGTGTCAACTTTCAAACGACCGTCGCATTCGCTCGAATTTGTCGTTCTTATCCGAACGATTGAGAGGAAGCACGCGACTACCGCTACATCCTAATAAAAAAAAAAAAGAAAAGAGAAAAAGACATCGTCTGACACATCTTGTCGAAGCGCGCATCGACGTCGCTCACTGTATGTAGCTCGGCGCGCCGAACGTGAACACGTGCAGTGGACACTTCGAATGTCTTCCTCCTGAATTAACGCGGCGAAAGAAGTCACGTGAATCTTTCCCGAAGAAGCGGCCAAGCTAAGTATAGCGACCGCGTCGCGCGCCCACGCGGATGCAGCCGTGAAAAGCATTCGCATTAATCTCGGCGCCACCTTTGCCGGCTGGACGAGTGAAATATTTCACGGCGACGGCTGCGTCCTCGCTAATGAAACGCCCCAGGTGGTGGTGGTAGTGGTGGTGGTGGTGGTAGTGGTGGCGGCGGTGATGGCGATAGTGGAGGACCGCCGGCGCGATTCTCTCTACGCGACTTTTCGCGACTCGCGGATTAAAAAGCCCGAATGTCCACGAGGACGTCTCTTCCGGCGCGCCTCGCTCATCTTCACCCTCCCGTGCCGTGTCATCGCGCTGCGCTCTCGCGCTCCCCGGTATGGAATTGATCAACACACCGCTCTAGCGTGTACAAAGAATTTATTTCGTTGAACATTGACAGTATTCACAGGCTCTCGCAGCTTATTACACAATGACATCGAGATATGGTATCCGTGCGTGGGTGGTATCGATCGAGACGTCTCGAGGTTCCCGGTCCTCTTATTGCCGATTGATCGATCGATTTGATTAGCTCGCACGCTCGCAGGCAACATTCGAAGTGGCCGATGCATGAGTCCGACTTTTCGAAGCATGATTAATAAGCGTCGTCGAGTTACTTGCTTCGTTTAGTTTGCTCGATTTCATTCTCTCTCTCTCTCTCTCTCTTTCTCTGTCATTCTCTCAAACTTTCTTACTCTCTTTCTCTCTCTCTCACTCTCTTTCCCGTATTTTCCCGACCCCGGCTTTCTCTCAGCCGGTGTCGGACGTGCAGGAAGACGTGTCGGCGTTACTCTGATCGTTGTTGCTCTCCGTCGACGAGCTGTCGTTACTCTTTATTCGTCGTTTGCGCAGCTTCGTGAACTGAAACTCCTCGACCGGCACTGCACACCAACAATTGAAGTCATGTTATTAGTCTCTTGGCTAATTATCGATGCCCACGATATTATTTATATATTTTTTTTGTCTTTTTTTCTCTCTGGGCATATCGAGGGATGGGACAGTTTGATCGGGATAAGTCAAATCGCAGCGTGTAGGAAAACGAGAACGAAGAACACATGTATATTTCTCTCTCGGTCGATCCTGGACCGAAACGCTTTACAACGTGGATCGCATTATCTTACAGTGGAAGTGCGCGTACAACGGGCTTGCTTGAGCACCTTGAAACTGATTCGGGTTCGCAGGCTGCGGAACTTAGGTACCGCCGATATCGCGCACCGAAACCGATACGGACGCATATCCCTTCGTGGCGCGCACATCCTCGCATCCACGCGAAACCGCAACGGAACAGCGACTTAATTTAATCTTTAGCCGAGCTCCCCTACGTAGCAGACTCTATTGCCGAAGAGGCACTGGATACGGCGTCACCCCGATTGCAAGACAGACTGTTTCTCGAGTGTCACGACCGAACTGTAAATCCTTGCAGACGTACCTATCGCAGTAGCGTGGAATAGACACGACTCTGTGTGTACGTATGTGTGTGTGTGTGTGTGTTTATACGTGAGTGCGACGAGGTAGACGAAAAACGAACGATCTTTATTTACAATAATGCACTATGTAACACATGAACAAGCTTCCTCACTATGCGCCGAGAAAAGCGATAAATCGGTTTGTACATCGAAAGCGTGTCGTTATGCGATATGTACATACTTACACGACTTAGCCGATGAATTATGTAATGAAGAAAGGACATTTATAGAATAGTAAACTTCCGTACTTCTCCGTTCCGACGTAGTTCGCTCTGCATCGTTATCTCTCACGTTACCTCTTGTTATTTCCTTCTTTATGCTCCCGTAATGTCGGATATTTAACGCGATAATTCTCTTTCTTTCTTTCTCTCTTTATCTCTTTCTCACTCTCTTCGTCGCTCATTCATGACCAGAAAAAAAAAATTACGAGATTCGTTAACGTCTACTCGCGTGACATAATCAGTATGGAAATTTACTTAGTGCTGTTCTCGCATTGTGAACTCTTGCTCGACGATATAATGAATCGTGCCATATTACATGCGAGCAGTAACAATCAAAGAGTCCCGAAGACATCTATTCTTTGTCATTTGTACGAGAGACTTGCGAAAATAATCGGTCGACTCGCCGTTGCAATCGATACTCTGTAGAGCGGTTTGTACCCCAGTATCCTCTCTCCCACGGAAGGGACAATGCACAAAGTGTCAGGTAAGGTGCAATCTTCAGAAGCGAGATACGTTTACTTCTTCTCGTTAAACATCGATCTCTAGTAGAAATATCTCTTTAAAATAGAGTCTTTGATGCATTCACAGCTATAACGTACTTACATACATTTCACAACAATAAAGTCGTCTCAATCTTTAAACAGTGGTACAGACTAAACAGGTCCTCTTTAAGTCTTACAACAAAGCATAGTTTCGTGTCGCCTCCGCCAATGTGTACATATTAGAAATTGTAATATGTTACCTGAATCACACCGCCCGCTCGTGCGTTCCGTGTACGGCTTACTTTACGTGTCATTTTACATTCGAACGTTCGTCGGCATCCGCGCGTAAGTCGGGACGGTCTTATTCTTTAGCGATATGACTATTTGTAGTGGAGGTCTCATTACCGTCTGAATCGGGATCACGATCGGCGGCACAGTGAGTCGGGGCGGACGGCAATGGCACGATCTCCGGCTCCAGGGGCTTCACCGGACAATCGATATCCTCTACGATGACCTCCTCCGCCAGACTGCTCCTCACCGCCTCTGCGAGATTGCGTACAATAAACGTAATTTACATCCTCACATTTGAATCCTCACTAGAGCTCGTTTACGCGATTAATTACCATTAAATGCCTGCGGGTATTGTTGGCTCAGTTTGTTCTTTACCAGACGAATCCTCTTGAAGATATAATCCAAATCCCTCTTCATTTCAATCAGAAGAGCGGTGTGTTTCTTGAATTCGGTGCCGGCTGTCTTCAGTCTGTTTATTGACAACTGATTGCAGTTGGTCAACATCTCGTTGGTCTTCTCGAACCTTTGCAACCTGAAATCGTGTGTAAGAAATAAAGAATATATTAATAGAAAATAAGGAATAATCATACACACAGAAAAATACTGCGTCCAATTAAACGTCACTTGCTTCTAGTATTTCATAAGTATATTTCTGCAAATCTATCATAAGTTTGTCATGAGCATCAAATTTATTCAAAATGCATTCTGAACACTAGTAAGCTAATAAGTTCAGCATTTCAATCAATAATATTAAATTAAAACAAAAATTCAGTTTGCTTACTACATAGAGTCTATATAAAATCGAACCAACTTTTTCTTCGCTGAAGTTTTACATTATGTGAGAGAATCTACATCTTACATCTTGTAGAGAGAATAAATTCTTCTTTTGAATATATAATAATAAACTTCTCTGAAATTTGTCACAAATATGTTTGAAAACTATTACTAAAAGAATATTCCTTGAACATAACTATTACTTAAAACAAAAAGTATAAAATGAGTAAACGTAAGCTTTTCTTAGTGATGAAATCTAGACAGTACAAAACGTCTCAGAATCATCCTGAATGTCCTCAGGAAAAGGATGCCTAAATATATTCAGCAAAATCTCATGACATTCTGTGTTCTGATATGTTATCATAATATTATCTGGTATTTTTCTGTGTGTAACGTTAAGTCACAGAGCACTTGTGATACAACTTACATTTGTTTCTGAGCACGTATCATAGACTCTACGTCCTGCTGATCGACAATGCCAGCTAGACCTTGCACAAATACCTCCGGCGCGGTGTAGTTTCTGAAACACTCGAAACTACCAGTATCCGACTCCGGTGTGCCTTGCGCCGCTGCCATGCTTTTGCTATCTCTCAAGACTACCAGACCTCGAATTTACTTTCATCATCAAGTAGCCCCATCATATAACTCCGTCCCGTTGGCTCAGCATAAGAGAATCGGGTTATCGCAAAACTCCTCATTCGTAAAAAAGAAAAGAATCTCGCAGCACCTGTATCGCAGAAACTGTCGACAAGCGTGAAGTTTACCAAACGTTCGGACTGTCCGCGAATCTTTCTCAACACGTCGTATCGATCTGAGAGGCCGAGGATGACTAAGAGAGTCGTCGATTATCCAACCAGTCATTACCTCACGATGACAACGATAGTCTCAAGCTGATTCGAGCTAATCGAGCTCATACTACAACACGCCGTCCGTCTAACCAAATGCTGTCGAAGTTATCGATTTGAGGCACGTTCGATTTAAATACCTTCGCTCCCGACGACGACACGACACGAAGTAGGCGCGGAATCGCAACGCACGCGACGACCTGTCTTTCTCGCCACGGCTTCGTCGCTCGATCGAATCCTACGAAGCCGAAGAGACCCACGCAACGCAACGAGGAACAGCGATCAAAAACCGAAGCGAACAACGAGCGGCACCGCCGTCGCTTCGGCCGCGCCGCGAGAAACGCAACAGCTGTTCGACGCCCAACGTTTTCGGCTCCGACAGTAGCACGTGTAGCACGCATTCAAATTTCCTCCGTGACTGACTTGTGTTGTGGCTGAGTAGCATCGCTCCGCGAAGAGGGGACCTTGTCTCTCTCTCACTAACGTTCGACGTTCAGTCGATTTTGTGTTGAGTTCCGTGTGACCGCGTGTCTCAGAAGGATGGCGCAGAACGTCAATCCGTTCTGCTCGTCGCAGAACACGCCGAACAAAGCCACGGAGGAGAAGCAGAACGTGCCGAAGGACAATCATGCAGTCAGCAAACGGTGAGAGAGTCCGTTAGCTTGTTCCTCGCGATTCGTTCCAACGGGATGTTTTGCTGTTTCTTTTCTCGCTCATACGAGCCGGCGATGATCGCGATGATTTTTGATGTGTGAATCTCATATTTTCCACGTGTAGTCGATATCGTCCTTTGTTCGCTGCGGCAACGTAACCTAGTCGACAAATTACCAAGTAGCCGATCTCAAACGATGCATACTAGCTTTTGTAAATGTTTCACAGGAATTAACTTATTGATATTTCATCATTTTTCCATTGAGAACAGCTATGTACAGATTATTGAGATAGCAATACTCATTCATCACTCTTAATTGTTTAGGTTGCAGAAGGAGCTCATGGTGCTGATGATGAGCACTGAGCACGGAGTATCAGCCTTTCCTGAGGGAGAAAATTTATTCAAATGGATTGGGACCATCACGGGACCAAAAGATACAGTAAGATTTGTTTTCTATTCTGAGTACTTGGATATTACTATATTTGGTTCTCAATATTCTGGTGGGAACAATGAGGGAAGATTTAATACAAGGATTTAATATATTATAGGTATATGCTGGTCTCACTTACAAACTGACTCTGGAGTTTCCACATAGTTATCCATATAGCGCTCCAATAGTTCGCTTTGTCACACCTTGTTTTCATCCTAACGTTGACCCTGTTGGTAATATCTGTTTGGATATACTGAAAGACAAGTGGAGTGCATTGTATGATGTGCGCACCATTTTACTTTCCATACAGTCTCTTCTTAGTGGTGAGTATAAGTAAGATGACTGTGATAAGGTGATATAATCTATGAAAAAAATAATTAAATAATTAAAAATAATTATAAGTGAGAAAAATAATTATGTATAATTATATAATATACATGAATTTTTTATTTTTCTATATGGTCACATGTATAATCATATATATGTTCATATAGAAAAATTGTATAAATACTATTAAAGTAACTGTATATGTTAGTAGTCTATAATGTCAACATATTTAATTGAGTAAAATTTTCTATTTCTTTCCATTCAACAGCAGTTTTCATGTGAATATATATAATATTACATATGAATATACGAAACTATAGAAAAAAAAATTACATATATATAGGTTATATGTACATAATTTATATTTGAAATTATATATATTTCTCTTTCTTTTTTTTATTCACACAGACAGTGTTAGCACACAATACTAATTTAAACTTATATCTTACCGTGCAGAACCTAACAACGATAGCCCGCTTAATATTCAAGCAGCGGAACTATGGAACAACCAGACGAAATACAAAAAGTATCTGACAGAAGAATACAACAGGGCACACAGTCGTAATTCACAAGATTCATGATGAGCCATTATCATATAATCATTTTGAATCACTTAATATCATTATTTCTATTTCGGGCGGTAAGATTATAATTAAGTGTCAGATTTATCGAAATTTTGTGCACTTTTCTTGCAAATCATGAACATTGCTGAGTAATTTAAATCGTAGTTTCATTTTATTGGAACATAACGACAAAATTCTTCGTTGCGAATTTTGCATATTACATCGCATTTATGTCGCAAAATTTTTGTAGAAATTCTTTTCCTGAAAATCATGAATTCACGTGATCACATCGATATCAAGACTGTGTGCACGTATTAATTGACATACAATTGACATACATCTTTTAATTGACATATAATCGCACAAGAAGCACACGTTTATTTATTTATCATGTAGAAATATATGCGTTGGTCCTTTGATCATTGGTCATCATGTGTTACATTCGCACTTGATGTTTCTTTCCATTTTTACCATTATTGTATAATTCCAAAATAAATATTTTAATGATCATACAATATATAATTAAAATATAAGCCCGTATGCTGTTTCTCATCGCTAAAAGTGTCTCCAAAAGTAGCTTATAGCCAATCAGAAGGTTTATCCAATCAGTCACTTTTAGAGGCACTTTTAAGCAATACAAATTTTTAACTTATATAGCAATAGAAACTTTTAAGCAAAAAAAAGTTCAGAATATAAGCCATAACCTCCAGTCGCTGTTGAAACACATGGCTTAACAACATTGTGTATAGTGCTCTGTTTCCCTAGCCTGTTTTCAGAACTTGTATATTAATTAGATGACCGTGCACAGTTTTCAATTTTATAGAAATATTACTTCTTTTTTGCTGTATACTTTGACATTCACTTGTTTCGGCATTCGTTATCAAAATTCACTTTTTTAACAATATTTTCCAAAAACACTGCGATTTATATTATGTGGAATAGTCGTGTTGATCGAATCGCTAAAAATATATATCTGGAGAAAGACTATTTTTTTTTATTTTAACAAAGTACATAGATATTTTCGGGAAGACTTTTGTTTCGCAAAATACGATTTATACTACTGTTCAGTTCGTTAATAACGTTTGGAAATAATTCGGAAATAATATTCTCATAATGGGGCTTTAATTTGTTAATAACTGATATATAGTAATAATAAACGGACGAAGTTTGACAAACGTAGCTGCGTGATGATCATCAATTCGCAACATTGCACCGATCACATCAGGTTTAAATCACGTGACAATCAGCACACTCTTTGATCTTGTTGTCAGTCTTGAATTTAGATAATATGATATCCAACGTATATAAAACTTTCAGTCGTTCCACGAGAGTGATACGTAAGTTTGTGATACAGCAGAACGTGTGGAATCGGCAACTATCATCAATGGCTAACAAAGTTCGTCAGATAGAGGTACGTAAAGAACTGCTATAGAACAGTGTCATGAACGCAAAACAGCGGAGCGTCATTCGATACGTTGTCTGACAGGAACGAAAGGTTAATGTGAACGGTACGGACATAAATTACGCCAGGGTCGGCACGGGTGATCATCCAGTATTGTTGTTGCCAGGCGCACTAGGTAAGTGTTAGTATTAATAAAAATTATTACGTAATGACGGAATAATTATTTATGTGTGTACATTGTTTTCGCTGAATTCCATGGTGTTTCTTTGATATTTGCCGCCATCTACCGGATGCTAGTCACCGGTGTGGTAATTATGACGTTCTACATATCCGGTGGAAGGCAAAATAAGTGTCATTATTATTACTAGAAATGAGTGATTTTGAAATAAAAATCGAGATCAAATAATAAATAACAAAAATTGTCAATTCTTCATTCTATTTAAAAATAAAAAGTCCTTCTACCCGCCTTTGATAACATTGCGCAAAAAATGAAGGATAATTCTCTCGATTATTAGTAATAGACATAATTCAACGAACATTAATTTCATCAATTATGATAATAGAGAGGATTTTACAGATAAAAGGCTGTAGTTTTTAGAATATTTTTACGAATATAATGTTTATTTGTTTACAAATAATAAATTTTGCACGAATATAAATCAAAAGATTCGCTTATGTGAAAACTTTTATTAAAGTTTGTGAACCTATATTATTGTGAATATATTTGTACAAATATACGTGCATATAAAATAGAATTTCCATGTAGAAATACGATGTATAATAAAATATATTCTTACAAATATAATAAACGTGCATAGATTTTTACCTGGAATGAGTACAGATGGCGTATCAAACAGTCGTGCAAAGTAGTATCAAGCAAAAAACACCGACGTAGCTATTCTTAGGTTTCTCTCTAACAAAACATAGCAAAATTTAACAAAGGCTACAATTTCGACAAAAATGACGACAGTGTAATGGCCTGTTTTTTTCAGCTGCACTGCTGAACTGGTGCAATAAGTTAGAAAAGAGTGAGAAAACATATATTTGTCTCACTTTAACTTATTTGTCTCACTTTAACTTATACCAGTTCAACAGTGCAGCTGAAAAGAACAGATCATATGAGACAAAGAGAGAGAGAGAGAGAGAGAGAGAGAGAGAGAGAGAGAGAGAGAGAAATATTTGAAGAGAGAGTTTACTAAGCCGGAATTCAAACTCTGGATCTAGAACATCGTAGACGTTTTATTCACTCACTATACGCGATCAAAGCAGAAAGGACATTTTTATTTCAATGTCAAATAAATCAATGAAAGAAGATCGCACAGAAATATACTTGCGCACAAATTACAAACCCTCATAGCATAAGATCTTAAAAGGATATCTTGGGGACTTGTATGAACATTTAAAAGTCCTCGGAATATTTTTAGGATATTCTGCGGACATTTAGCAATCCTCTGGATGTCTTTAGGACATCTTTTAAATCTTATGCTATGTGGGAAAGAAAGTTCGTACTTTTAAATAAAGTGAAATTTGGTTTTGTAATGCAACTCGAAAACTATAAAAACTATAAAAATTTTATACATCTAACTGATCTCTCCCTATCTTTTGATTTATATTCTGTTCTGTTGTCTCGCCAACGGCTTTTTTGTCTCCAAATTTCGATGCAACAGCAGATCAGAGAAATTTCTTACCTTAACACAATAATACAATAACACATTTTCTGTTTTTAAATAAAATGACTCAGTGAGAGATTAAGTCAAGTAGTTTATTCTTCAGTAGCAGAGGACCGAACAGCGGACTATGTAATAGACTTGTCTGTGTTTATTGATGATAATTCTTTAATAATAATCCTTTTATCTGGTGTTAAATTATTATTTACTTATTGGATTGTATATTTTAGGAACGATTTGGACTGATTTTAAGCCGCAGCTTGAGAATCTTGACGTGGATAAGTTGGTTATAGTGGCGTGGGACCCACCCGGCTATGGAAAATCGCGACCACCAAACAGAATATTTTCGAACAATTTTTTCCAGCGCGATGCCGTTTATGCCAACAACCTAATGAAGACTTTAGGCTATAAGAAATTCTCTTTAATCGGATGGAGTGACGGTGGTATCACGTCGCTTTTTCTTGCCGCCACGTATCCCGAGAGCGTTTACAAGATGGTTGTTCTGGGTGCAAACGCGTATATACATCCGATGGAAATCGATTTTTATAAAAGTACGATCCGATCTAGCTTTCGATATCCAAAATCAAAGCACCGTTCGATCATATAATAATACTATCAAGAATATATTTCGTAACTTTTACTTATTTTTTTTTTAACAGAGTACAATCAACTAAAAACTATCTTAAAATTTATACATACACATTTCGACACAAGTATACTTTAGACTTGTAAGAACAATTAAAATCACAAAAATTTGCTCAAAATGCTAAAATAGCAAGTTTCTTTTGTAAAAAGAGCTAGAGATCCCGCTATTATTTATCTCGAAAATATTCGGACACATTTTACGTAATTCTTACGTTCTTCAGTTATATATGCAGCCCTTCATAAAATATTCCTATACAGAAGTCAAAGACATCAACTCGTGGTCAGAGAAGATGAGAACACCTATGATTCAAGCATACGGTGAGGATTACTTCAGGAAGACTTGGTCTGATTGGGTAGACGCCACGCTAAGGTTGTACGAGAAGCAGAACGGTAACCTGTGCAAACAGGTTTTATCGAAGATAAAATGCCCGACGTTGATCGTTCATGGGGCCAAAGATGCGATGGTCCACGCGGAACACTCGCAGTACTTGAAGCAAAACATTGCCAACTCAAAGTTTGTACTTCATTCACGGATTTGATGCAATCTGGACAGTTCACAAGACGTTTTGCTAACTTCTCTCGTATTGTATTACAGATTGTATATATTTGAAAAGGGCGCACACAACCTTCACTTGAGATATGTCGAGGAGTTCAATAAGCTGGTGATGGATTTCCTCATAGAACAATCGAAGATTTAATGCATTCAAACAGTGTGATAAATGTTTTAGATCTAAAATTAGATGCAATCATCTAATTAAAATTAAATGTATATTACAAGGTAGTTTTCATTATGGTGATATTTCTTTATGATAAGAATGATATTAAACGCTTGTGTACAGCTTTATTAA